AAAAAAAAAAAAACAAAGAAAAGAAAAGAAAAGAAAAAGAAAAAGAAGGTGCTTCCGTCCTCACCTCTTCCCTACAGAATCCCAGAGAAAGTATTCCAAATACCAGAGCCCTAAAAAGTTAAGGTTCCTTTGCATTTAGTCTCTGAGGCCCAGAGACTGATCCGCCAGAATGTCTCATGACAGGTTCTTTCATTCAGTCCTTAATTCAAAAGCCATTCATGGCTTACCTACTGAGTGCCGGACGGTGGGGTATTTAAGAAGGGTTAGGAAGCGACAACAAACCCCTGGCTTCCAGGCACTCGCAGCAGTAAGGGACCAAGGGGCCGACAGGAACCTACTGGGCGATGCAAACTGTTTGGGGCTGGGATCTTTCCCTGTTCGACACTTCCATGGCCCCCTGCTCGCCCCTAACCGTCTTTTTGATCCCTCATTCCTGTCTCCGAGGATTCCCACGACAGGCTCTTCCAGACGGGAACCCCTGGATAGCTGCCCCGTGCCACCGACTGGCCCAGGAGATGGTCAGGGAGGCGGCCACCGCCTCGGGGTCTGCCCCAGGGCGGGCATCGCGGGGAGGATTTGGGGATCACAGCTCACCCGGGGTCTGCCCCAGGGCGGGCATCGCGGGGAGGATTTGGGGATCACAGCTCACCCGTTTCCGACCTGCAAGACGCGGTATCCAAAATGCCTCCCGGCGCGCGGTGGGGAGAAGCTCTGCGCGCCCCGCACGTCCAGGTTGTAGCTCGAGGTCGGAGCTGAGGAAGGCAAGAGGGGTCATATACTACCCAGTGATCCCCGCCCCTGCATGTGCCCGGCAGGTGGCCAACCCCAAGCCCACCTGGCTCTCACTCCCCAGACCGCCCGCACCGAGTGGGCGGAGCGGACCCGCGCTCTGCGCTTCCCCTCCAGGGCGTTGACTTCAGGGAATATGGAAGGAGAGACTCCCAGCCCCCCAGAGCTCTGAAAGCTCTTCCCAGGGCCTGAGGACACAACTTCCCGTTTGGCCTCTCTGCAAAGAAGGAAAGATGAGAAGAAGTCAGAGGTCCCAGAAAGAGGAGCAGATCCCAGGGGCCCTGAGGCAGAGGGTGGCCAAGTTCCCAGGAGGAGGCCAAGATGGGGATGCCCCAGGGCCGGGTGCGCCTTTACCACCCACTTCTGCGGTCATGGGGCCCATGCGCCCCTTCCCATATTCTCAGATTCTAGCTCCCTTGATCCCTGGGGAGCTGCCTCCCCACTCCCAAGCCCCACGGGCCAGTCTTTCAAGCACCTGTAGATTTCCCAGCCCCCTTCCCCTTCATGCGGACTGCCTAGGCGCCCAGGCATACCCAGGCTGTCCTTTCTGCCCTGTTTTCTCTCCCGGCATGGAGTTTAGTTCAGAGCATCCTAGGATGTCAGGGATGCCGGGCCTTCATTTGTTTAGATGAAGCGACTGAGGCTGGAAAGGGGGAAAGGACTTGCCTAAAACGCACAGGGGTGGCACCACCGGCAGCACCACGGATGGCCCAGAGCCCAGCACTCCCCACCCAGCTCTACCTACTCATTAACTATCTGCCTTTTGTTTGTTGTTTAAGAGACAAGGTCTCACTCTGTCCCTCAGGCTGGAGTGCATTGGCACGATCTTGGCTCACTGAAACCTCCACCTTCTGGGTTCAAATGGTTCTCGTGCCGCAGCCTCCTGAGTCGCAGGGATTATAGGCATGTGACACTACACCCATCTAATTTTATTGTATTTTTATTAGAGACGAAGTTTTACCATGTTGGCAAGGCTGGTCTCAAATTCCTGACCTCAGGTGATCCACCCACTTCGGCCTCCCAAAGCGCTGGGATTACCAGCGTGAGCCACCAGGCCCAGCCCCATCTGCCTTTTTAAAGACCCCACTGCCCCTTCTTATGACTCCTTCTCTGTCTTTGCCTCTACCCCTTGTCTATTTGTTTCTTTTACTTCCCCACTCCCCAGTTTCTCCTTCCAAGATCCCAGGGCCCCATACCCCTAAGACCAAGACCACTTTTAGGGGGCAGCTCCTTGTTAAGTCCAGCTCCACCAAGCCCTGCAGTTTCTCTGGTCACAGACACATGTCCCATCCCCTGCCTCCACCCTTGCCTACCAAAGAAAAAGAACCCAGACAGCAGCGCCATGGCCATCACGATGATGCAGGAATCCTTCATTCTTCCAGCACTGGAGGGACCTGTGGCTCCAGGGGCAGCCTCAGGAGGCCCTTGGGATTTGCTGGCAACCTAGACAGGGTAAAAGAGGAAAATGATCATGCCCTTTGGCCTCTTACAGTGGTACTTTCTCACAGAAGCACCAGGCTGGTGACACTCTTGGGCGGGGAGGGAGGCGCGCCTGTAGGGGTTGTGAAACCGCAGGGCTTCAGGGAGGAAGTGTAAGCAGGTTAGACACATTTCCTGTGGCTGCTTGCATTTTCACATCATCTAAAAGCTGACAGCATGGTGGGGAGATGACTGTCTTCACTGCTGTCACGGTCTCTCACTAACACCCCAGCTAAGGACTCTGTAAAGCTCAGGAGAGGACCGTGCCAATAAACCGTGGCAAAATTACAATGGAATGCTATGCAGCAGTGAAAAAGAATGAGGGAAGGAACAGTAAAATGGGGGGGCGGGAAGTGACATAGCTTTCTCTTGACCTTGAAAGATGCACATGAACTACTATTAAAGAAAAGAGCAGGTTACAGAATGGTGTATTTAGTAACTCATTTTGCTTCTAAAAGGTAAAATCTAAAGAATTGGAGGCCAGGTGCAGTGGCTCAATGGCCGTAATCCCAGCACTCTGGGACTTCAGGAGGTGTAGGTGAGAGGATCACTTGAAGCCAGGAATCAAGACCAACCTTGGCAACAAAGCAAAACTTGGTCTTTAAAAAAAAATTTTTTTTTAATTCTTTAAAATAAATTGGAGGCCAGGTGAGGTGGCTCACGCCTGTAATCCCAGCACTTTGGGAGGCCAAGGTGGGTGGATCACCTGAGGTCAGGAGTTCAAGACCAGCCTGGCCAACATGGTGAAACCCCATCTCTACTAAAAAAAAAAAAAAGATTTTTTTAAAAATTGGAGAAAATATTTGCAAATCATATCTCTAATAAGCGATTTGTCTCCAGAATACATACACACACACACATATATATTACATATATTTTTTTAGACAGAGTCTCACTCTATTGCCAAGCTGGAGTGCAGTGGTGCGATCTTGGCTCACTGCAAACTCTGCCTCCCGAGTTCAAGAAATTCTTCTGCCTCAGCCTCCCATGTAGCTAGAATTACAGGTGTGCACCACCATGCCTGGCTAATTTTTGTATATTTAGTAGATATGGGGTTTCACCATGTTGACCAAGCTGGTCTTGATCTCCTGGCCTGTGATCCGCTCACCTCGGCCTCCCAAAGTGCTGGGATTACAGGCTTGAGCCACTGTGCCTGGACACCAGAATATATTTTAAAAAAAATTTTTTTTTGAGACGGAGTTTCGTTCTTGTTACCCAGGCTGGAGTGCAATGGTGAGATCTCGGTTCACCGCAACCTCTGCCTCCTGGGTTCAAGCAATTCTCCTGCCTCAGCCTCCTGAGTAGCTGGGACTACAGGCATGAACCACCATGCCCAGCTAAATTTTGTGGGTTTTGTAGAGATGGGGTTTCACCATGTTGACCAGGATGGTCTCGATCTCTTGACCTCATGATCCACCCGCCTCGGCCTCCCAAAGTGCTGGGATTATAGGCGTGAGCCACTGTGCCCGGCCTAAAAACTCTTATAATTCAGCAATAAAAAGACAAATGACCAATATTTTGTTTGTTTTGTTTTGTTTTGTTTTGTTTTAAATTTTTTGAGACAAGGTCTTGTTCTGTCACCCAAGCTGGAGTGCAGTGGCACGATCACAGATCACAGCAACCTTGAACTCCCAGAGTCAACCAATCCTCCCACCTCTGCCTCCTAAGTCGCTGAAACCACAGGTGTGTGCCACCATGCCTGGCTAGTTTTTATTTTTTGAGGTAGTTTCTCACTGTGTTGCCCAGGCTGATCTCAAAATCCTATGCTCAAATAATCCTCCTGCCTTGGCCTCCCAAAGTGCTGGGATTACAGGTGTGAGCCACTGTGCCCAGCTTATTTTTATTTATTTTTATTTTATGCTAGTCAAGTGAAGTAGTGGGAGTGGAGAAGGAACAAAGATATTGGTAACTGGTTGGGTTCAATTAGAATTGTGTTCAACTAGTTTTAGATGGCCGGGCTTGGTGGCTCACGCCTGTAATCCCAGCACTCTGGGAGGCAGAGGCAGGTGGATCACCTGAGGTCAGGAGTTTGAGACCAGCCTGGCCAACATGGTGAAACTGTCCCTACTAAAATACAAAAATTAGCCACCGATGGGGGCGCATGCCTGTAATCCCAGCTACTCAGGAGGCTGAAGCAGGAGAATCGCTTGAACCCAGAAGACAGAGATTGCAGTGATCCAAGATCTCGCCATTGTGCTGCAGCCTGGGTGACAGAGCAAGACTCCATCTCAAAGAAAAAAAAATTGGTTTTAAACATCACTGCACTCAAACCAACCTACCTAAGTTTCTAAATGAGCAAAGGGGTTGAGTAGACATTTCTCCAAAGATGATATGTAAATGGCCAACATGCACATGAAATGATACTTAACATTATTAGTCATTAGAGAAATGCAAATCAAAACCACAATGAGATCTACTCTTTACACCTACTAGGATGGCTAGAGTTTAAAACAAAGGAAATAAGCATTGGTGAAGATGTGAAGAAACTGGAACCCTGGTACACATTGCTGACAGAAATATAAAATGGTGTGGCTGCCGGGCCAGACACCTTGACAGTTCTTTTTTATTTTTAATTTTTTTGAGACAAGGTCTCACTCTGGTCCAGGCTGGAGTGCAGTGGTGTGATCTCGGCTCACTGCAGCCTCAACTTCATGGGCTTGAGTCGTTCCCCCACCTCAGCCTCCTGAGTAGCTGGGACTACAGGTGCAGGGCACCATGACTGACTAATTTTGTATTTTTTTGTAAGATGGGGGTCTCACTACCTTGCCCAGGCTGATCTTGAATTCCTGAGCTCAATTGATTTGCCTACCTCAGCCTCCCGAAGTGTTGGGATTGCAGGCGTGAGCCACTATACTCAGCCCAACAGTTCTTTAGAAAAGTTACATAGGCTGGGCGTGGTGGCTCATGCTTGTAATTCCAGCACTTTTGGGAGGCTGAGGTCACCTGAGGTCAGGAGTTTGAGACCTGAGGTCACTTGAGATCGGGAGTTCGAAACCAGCCTGGCCAATATGGCAAAACACCATCTCTACTAAAAGTACAAAAATTAGCCAGGTGTGGTGGTGCGTGCCTGTAATCCCAGCTACTCAAGAGGCTGAGGGGGGAGAATTGCTTGAATCTGGGAGGCAGAGGTTGCAGTGAGCCAAGATCACACCACTGTACTCCAGCCTGGGCAACAGAGTGAGACTCTGTCTCAGGGGAAAAAAAATTGAACGTAGAGTAACCATGTGACCCAGAAGTTATCCTAGATATATACCCAAAAGAATTGAAATCATATGTTCGTACAAATACTTATACATGAATGACCATAGCAGTATGAATAATGATTCATACTAGCCCCAGACTGGAAGCAATCCACACGTTCATCAACTGACAAATGGATAAACAAAATAGGGTATAGCCATATAATGCAATATTATTCGCCTGTAAAAAAGAATCAGACCGGGTGTGGTGGTTCACACTTGTAGTCCCAGCACTTTGGGAGGCCAAGGCAGGCAAATCAGCTGAGGTCAGGAGTTCAAGACCAGCTTGACTGACATGGTAAAGCCCCCTCTCTACTAAAAACACAAAAATTAGCTGGGGGTGGTGATGCACACCTATAATTCTAGCTACTCAGGAGGCTGAGGCAGGAGAATCACTTGAACCTGGGAGATGGAGGTTGGAGGCAGAGGTTGCAGTGAGCGGAGAACACGCCACTGCACTCCAGCCTGGGTGACGAAGTAAGTCTCCATCTCAAAAAAAAAAAAAATATATATATATATATATATATATATATATATATATATATACATATGTAGTACTGGTAGATGCTACAATATGAGTAAGCCTTGAAAATACACTTAGTGAAAAAAGCCAGCAAAAAAAGTCTCATATGGTCTGACTCCATTAAGTGAAATATCCAGAACAGGCAAATCCAGAGAGACAGAAAGCAGATTGGTGCTTGCGGGAGATGGGGGAAATGGAGACTAGGGATCCACTACTAATGGGCATAGGGTTTCGTTTCAGGTGATGAAATGTTCTGGAAATAGACCGTGGTAATGATTGCACAATTTTGTAAATATGTTTTAAAACCACTGAATTCTACACTTTTTTTTTTTTTTTTTTTTAGAAGACAGGGTCTCATTTTTTAGTTTTTGAGATAGGGTCACCCAGGCTGGAGTGCAGTGGTGCGATCATGGCTCACTGCAGCCTTGACTTCCATGGCTCAAGCAATCCTCCCACCTCAGCCTCCCCAAATAGCTGGAACTACAGGTGTGTGCCACCACAGCTGGCTAATTTTTGTATTTTTTGTAGAGATAGGGTTTCGCTGTGTTGGCTAGGCTGGTCTCAAACTCCTGGGCTCAATCGATCCTCTGTCCTTAGCCTCCCAAAGTGCTGGGATTACAGGTGTCAGCCACCATGCCTAGTGAATTGTATACTTCAGAATGGTGAGTTTTATGGTATGTGAATTGTATCTCAATAAAAAATAAAAATGAAATTATATATGTATGTATATATATTTGTTAAATTGGAAAGGATATACAACCATACTCTAAACAGTGGTTAGTTCTGCAGAATGAAGTTTATATATTTCCATATAGTCTGCAGGTTTTTTTACAATGAGGATGTATAACTTTACCATTAAAAAAAATTAAACTACCATTAAAAAACATAGGCCAGATGTGGTGGCTCACACCTGTAATCCCAGGAGTTTGGGAGGCTGAGGCAGGCGGATCACCTTAAGTCAGGAGTTCAAGACCAGCCTGGTCAACATGGTGAAACCCATGTCTACTGAAAATACAAAAAAATTAGCTGGACATGGTGGTGGGCAGTTGTAATCCCAGCTACTCTGGAGGCTGAGGCAGGAGAATCCCTTGAACCCAGGAGGTGGAGGTTGCAGTGAACCGAGATCATGCCATTGCACTCCAGCCTGGTGGACAAGAGCGAGACTGAGTCTTAAAAAAAATAATAAAAAATAAAAATATTGGCCGGTCACAGTAGCTTATGCCTATAATCCCAGCCCTTTCAGAGGTCAAGGCGGGAGGATTGCTTAAGCTCAGGAGTTTGAGACTAGCCTGGGCAACTTAGCAAGAACTCAT